CTCTAAAAGTAACTGATCTTCTGTTACTATTTCGATTTTTATCATTTCCAGATAAATGTTGCTGAATAAATAATTGAATAAACCAAAATTTTAACATTAACATGTTCAGCTGCTAAAATCTTTAAGCTTCAGATGGGTGATTAAAAATTATAAATTGAGTCATTGTGGAAGATTTCTGCTTTAGCCAGGCATCAGTAACAGCAGAAACTCAAAATGATGATTCTGCGAAAGTTAGTTGGCCACCATTCACTAAATCGATCAATTTCATCTTTCAATACACTGCCTGAAATAGTGTTTGACCACAGTTATTACGCTTTCAAAGTATCTACACTAATTAACAAATATCAGTGAGTAAGATCGTTTTTATTCAAGGGTCTTGTTTAAAAAACAAAGGATTTAACTGTGATGAACTACGATAATATAAAAACATTTTGCAGTAAACTATAGAACAGAAATGTGCAAGAAAGAACCTGAAGACCTTCAGAAATACTAGCTAGAATTATCACTGATTCCTAAAAAACCTTACACTCTATTATTTCTTCAGCAAAGCAAAAAAAAAAAATCAGAAACAGCTAACCATAATCCGGTTACCAGCTGCGTTCTTCGTGAACGAGATGCAAAACAGAAACGCCTTAAAACATTTTAAATTTTTCTATTATTGTTGTTTTCAAGATATCTGAAATGCATCTCTAAAGTCCAAATTTTTTAATGAAATGGGCAGTAATATTTCTTGAGACAAGGATTTCTAGAACTGAATCAGCGTGAAAAAAAATGATATGCAAATGAAAATCAAAGAAAAATGAAAAATTTCTTCACTAAGGTGCGAGTTTTCATTCTTCTGCTTATTGTTCTTGCTCAGAGAAAGCGTAAGAAAAAATTAGATCTATACTCACACGAAACAACGACGATACTTTTTTTTCAAGGTTTTATTCCTGTTTACTTAATATTACGGTAAAATTTGAAACACTAATAAGATTAAAGTAAAATCTGAAAAGCGAGAGCCTTTGTTAAATATTAATTTTTATACAAATAAAATTAACGTGTATTCTATTTTTGGTACATAT